TCTGTTGCTCTTTTGACAGCTGAAGGAAAGAGAGGTTAGGTATTTTCAACAAAGTTTATTTCTGTGGACAGCCTATGCCAAAAAACATGTTCTCTGGGCAGTAGCACTACTTAGTGCATATTATTCAATCAGTTTTAATATCCTAGCATAAATGTATCTGTCTTTCCAGAGCTTTCATAACTCTTGAGGTTAGGTATGGTTGACTAAGATTGTTTTTAACAGTTTCACATTGACTTTTTGGCAGGCTTTATGCTTATCTGAGTAATGAACTTGAAAGTTCAGGTCCCATGGTTTGTATCAAAGTTGAGTTGTGTGAGATCTTAGTGAGATCCTAAAATTTGTAATGATGGTATATTAATAGAACTATAGAGATTTGGACATTGTTCATCGTCCTGGTTTTTATTTAAAAACGTTTTGGAGACTGGACTCTTTCCACCAGGCAAAAGCCTACTCAGTTGGGCCCAATTGATAGACCTAGTCCCTATCTCCAGACACCAGAACCAACACAAGATGGGATATATAAACCAAACACGACATAAACCATCAGCGGGAGTAGGAATTCTACAAGCTGGTAGAGGAAACTGCACAATAGTGTTAAACAAAACCTGGTACGAGGGGGTACCCAAAAGAAACCGAACTTATTTTTTTTTAACTTATTTATTCAAATTTTAAGCACAAACCTTCAATCCCCTCTCCACTTACACTAATACACTTGTCTAGTCTTTTATTCCATTTTTCAAAACATTGTCTAAATTCATCTTTTGAGATGCCTGACAGCGCCTCCGTCGTTTTTCCTTCACCTCAGCAACATCAGCAAAACGCTTTCCTTTCATGTCTCTTTTCATTCGAGGACTCAGGACTTTTCTTTCAAAGCACAGCATGCTTCCACACGACCTTGTTTTTGTTCAGCAGTCAGCAGTCATGGCACGAATTTCGCAGCCACCCTTTTCATTCCCAAATCTTCTGTCAAAATTCGCTGAACTGAGCTCCAAGTCACTCCCGACAGCTCCACAGTTTATTCAATGGTCCGTCGTCGCTCTTCCTTGATGATTTCACGAATTTTTTCAACATTTTCTTGTGCTCGGGCCGTGGAAGGACGACCAGAACGAGGTTTGTCATCAATTGACATTTCACCATTTTTGAAACGGGAAAACCACTCAAACACTTGAGTTTTCCCCATAGCATCGTCCTTGTACGCCGTTTTTAACATTTCAAGAGTTTCTGTTCCACTTTTTCCGAGCAAAAAGCAGAATTTCACCGCCGCACGCTGTTCACGAAAATCAGCCATTGCAAAAACGATGATCACACAAAACAGTTGTCACTATAAACTTTGCCGAAACTAGTCCTTACCTTCTGAAGCAACGGTAGTCGGCTTATCGACTCAGGAATGTTAGCGCTATGCACTCATAGCGGCAAAACGCGGTACTACAAAAGCTCTGCCCACAAAAAAAATTAGTTCCGTTTCTTTTGGGTACCCCATCGTATATATTCAAAGTTCAGGGAATTTGAACATGTTAAGATGTGGCTGGCTAACACTTCCAGTCACCATACTTTTCATATGAAATGCTAGGTTCATAGTGTTGTTCCCAAAGACCTTACACTGAAAGCTCCATACCACAGTCATCATTCTTCTAAGATAACTTCATGAGCCAGCAAGGCCCTGCTAAGAGAAAGGATCCAGTTCTGCCATTTCAAAAAGGCCACACTGAGCGAACAAATCAGTGATCTTGAAACTTTCTTCCAGAGATCAGTAAATCAGATCAATCCACATCCTGGCAGCAGTGGAAAGCTTGTTCAAACATAATTTTTTTAAGCAGAAGAAAATCTGGATTCAAAAATTCTCAGCTCTGAAGGATTTCCACACCAGGCTGCCTCAACACTGATAGAAATTCATGGGTCTGAGAAATTTGTCCTCATTTTGTCAGAGCATGTTCTCACAGAATCAGAAGAATCAGTCCTTAAGAAAGGGCTGAATCTGCAAGGTTCAAAGTACCCCCTGCTCATGGGTTTTGAATTTTGTTGGAGGATTTGGTAGCTGATGGAAAAATCAAAACCTTTGACATTTAACATAACTTTGAAGGAATCTGTGCGGTTGAAATCTCTAAAAGAAAATAACGAAGGGAATTCTACAAGTTGACAAAGGAAACTGCATGGTAGGGTTAACAAGTCCACATATAAGGAGACGGTATTCATTGTATTACTATCATGGGTTTATGGATTTCTGTGTAAGGATCCCACATCACAAATTGAGATGAAATTACAGAAACTTCTTACTAAGCATAAAACTGTCCTTCCCATCGCCTTTATAAACTGACACCTTAACACTGTAAATCATCTCATTTCCCAAGATACATGAACCTGAATCCCCCTTAGGCCAATAGTTAGCTATATTGACTCTTCCTGTTATGCCCTATTGATGTTTCTCTATAAAGTTCTGAGTACTCTAGTTGGCAATACAGACTCCTTCCTGAAGAACTCAGTACACTTACTAAAATTAATACAGGAGATTAACCTTCAAAACGAAGACTGCCATGTAAGTTCTGACATCGTCAGTCTGTTCACCAGTGTACTGGTGGGAGAAGTCTCACAGGTCATGGGAAGTAGACTCAGTACAGACCCTTCTTTCTCAGAATGCTGACCTTTACAAGTTGAAAATGTAATGTATTTACTGGATATCTGTTTAAAAGCTACATACTCTACACAGCTTTCACTGCATTCTTGGTTATTTGTAGGTCCAGCAGAAATGTTTGAACATCATATGCAGCTGAAGGATTTACACAAGCAGCAGGTGGAACTGGAACAAAATCTGAAGGCTATGTCTGAGAGGCTGCAGAGTGAAGAACAGAGAAACAGCAGGTAACTAGGACTGAACTGTCTGCCCAGAAGCTCACTGTATTCTGGGATAAAGTGCAAGCCATCATCCATTTTTTGTACCATGCTTTCCTTTGTGACACACAGAAAAACAGTAAATCTCCATGTACTTCAAACATTTCATTCTTACATGTGTAAAACAAAATCAACAAGAAATTTAATATGGTGGGAAGTCATAACATTTCAATTTATCACCATGAGAAAATCATAATTCCAAAAAATCGTTGTGTATAGGAGATAGCTCATTTCTTGAGCTTGCTGAGCAGTCAAATTTTCCTGTGTCAAGGGGACAGGAAGCCACCAGAAGGGGCAGAAGCAGAATGACGACATTGGTTGAGAAAGTGGAGGTTTGTGCTGTGATAGGGTTCCTGCATTTGCAAGGGAAGTCTGCTGTGCATCAGGAAGGTGTACCATCATATGACAGTGGTCCAGTGGAAGAGGCACTTTCCCTGTGGCCAGACAAACCTTGAAGATGAACCCCGAAGTGTAAGACCATCTCTCGCTGAGGAAGTGGGAATTGTGGCACAGGTGGAAACTTTGATCCTATCCGATAGGTACATAACTATCGAAGCTATTGTTCATGAGGTCCACATCATCCATGGGTCGGTTTTCAACATCATCCGTGATGAGTTACGCATGACAAAGGTCGCTACTCATTGGGTGCCACAATTGTTGACACCAGTTTAAAATCAGGAATGGATGGATGTGGCAAACAAACTTTTGCAGCTTGTTCATGAGGTCCACATCATCCATGGGTCGGTTTTCAACATCATCCGTGATGAGTTACGCATGACAAAGGTCGCTACTCATTGGGTGCCACAATTGTTGACACCAGTTTAAAATCAGGAATGGATGGATGTGGCAAACAAACTTTTGCAGCTTGTTCATGAGGTCCACATCATCCATGGGTCGGTTTTCAACATCATCCGTGATGAGTTACGCATGACAAAGGTCGCTACTCATTGGGTGCCACAATTGTTGACACCAGTTTAAAATCAGGAATGGATGGATGTGGCAAACAAACTTTTGCAGCTTGTTCATGAGGTCCACATCATCCATGGGTCGGTTTTCAACATCATCCGTGATGAGTTACGCATGACAAAGGTCGCTACTCATTGGGTGCCACAATTGTTGACACCAGTTTAAAATCAGGAATGGATGGATGTGGCAAACAAACTTTTGCAGCTTGTTCATGAGGTCCACATCATCCATGGGTCGGTTTTCAACATCATCCGTGATGAGTTACGCATGACAAAGGTCGCTACTCATTGGGTGCCACAATTGTTGACACCAGTTTAAAATCAGGAATGGATGGATGTGGCAAACAAACTTTTGCAGCTTGTTCATGAGGTCCACATCATCCATGGGTCGGTTTTCAACATCATCCGTGATGAGTTACGCATGACAAAGGTCGCTACTCATTGGGTGCCACAATTGTTGACACCAGTTTAAAATCAGGAATGGATGGATGTGGCAAACAAACTTTTGCAGCTTGTTCATGAGGTCCACATCATCCATGGGTCGGTTTTCAACATCATCCGTGATGAGTTACGCATGACAAAGGTCGCTACTCATTGGGTGCCACAATTGTTGACACCAGTTTAAAATCAGGAATGGATGGATGTGGCAAACAAACTTTTGCAGCTGTGTCAAGAAGAAACTGTGGAATTTTTCGAACGCCTGATCACGATGGATGAATGTTGGGTCTATAATTATGACCCTGAAACAAAGGAAATGAACAAGCAGAGGAAACATGCAGACTTGCCACCATCAAAGAAGGCCAGATCCAAGCCATTGTCAGGAAAGGTGATGTTGAGTGTGTTCTGGGATTGGCAGGGTGTCATCATGACCTACTATGCGCAAAAGGGTGTCACCATCACTGGTGAGTTATACTGGAACCTTCTGAGAAAATTACAGGAGGAAATCAAGAAAAAGTGACGTGGAATGCTGCGAAAAGATGTGACACTTCTTCACAACAAGACACCGGCTCATGCTGCTCATGCTACAATGACACTCGCTGCCAGTTTGGGATATGAAATTCTCCCCCATCCACTGTATTCACCAGACCTGGCACCATGCGACTTCTTCCTTTTTCCATGGCTAAAGAAGCCACTTCGTGGGAAGTGATTAGAAGAAGACATCATTTCTGCAGTGGAGGACTTCCTAGACATTCAAAATGAGACCTATCATCAAGGTATCCAGCAGTTAATGTGCTGGGGAAAATTTGTGGCCTTGCAGGGGGCATATGTAGAGAAGTCTGAAAGAGACAGAATAATGTGTTAAGTTTGAAGACTTTGTATATGGTGGCATTTAACCCAATGTGGGGCCTACATATGATTTTTTTTTATTTTATTTTATTTTATTTTATTTTATTTTTTTTTTTTTTATTACCTTTTGGATATGTAGAATTTGATATCTCCCAATTTACCATGCTGATGAAGATGAGAAGTTGCATGAATGATTGAAAACCCCTCAGTAATCACACTTTTGGGTGTGATCAGGATACAATGGTGATAGTCAAATCAATAAATTTGGAAATGTATGCCTAGCATCTGATTTTTTTGTTTATTTTGAAAACCATAAGACTTGTGGAAAAAATGTGTGGAGCATGAAATATTCATTCTTCTCAACTTTTGGTTGCAACATTTTTCACTTTGATAAATATTGTGTTCAAGATATATGTGGAAATGCATGTAGGTCTTCATGTAATAGGTTGTTAAAATTTTCCAATCTGAATGAAAATTGAAGACCATTCTTCATGAAGCTCTCAAATATCAGATTTAATGAAAATCCATATAGTGGTTCATGTGTTTCTCCGTGTGTACAGACAGATGGACTCTGTGAACTTAATAGGCACTGCACAGGGTACCAAATGCTTCAAAAGATGCACAGATAAGCCTCAAGCCAGATAATGTGTGCACAGTTAGTGGGGAGTATGCTGTAAACGAGTGGGTCACAATTGAAGATGTGAAAATTTTGGAAGTCAGTATTCATAAAAATTACCTTGGAAGCCATTCTACTTAAAATAACTGCTGTAATCAACTCACAGAATTTTTCATTTTTAGGGGGAGGGTATTCAGATTCTATTGAAAGCTAATAATTTGTTTGTAATGAGAGTTCAGGTTATTATGAAATGTAATACATAATTGTTGAAAAATAGTAGCTGGAGTTTGTAACTTACATCCAAAGTAGAGAACTGCCACAATAATAGAACTTTCCAATAAAAATGTCTTTTCCAAACTGAATACTGAGCTTGAATACCTGAAATTTACTGAAAAAGTGGTAGTAAAACTCATGAGAGGAGTGGGAGACATTTGGGAAAATAAAGAATCGTTTTTCTGGTTAACCATTCCATTGGGGCTTTGCCCACTCAGAGAAGGCAAATACCTGTTTACCAGTACTTGGAATTCCCAGATCTAAGGTTGTGGTTTAAGTAGAATAGGTTCTGTCCCTTCTGAGTAAGGTACACGAAAACAAGGATATTGAGTTAATTCAGTTAGGAGGGAAGTATTGTACAATATTGTAATAGGGTTTGGGATACCCAGGAAACTAGTCACACTGATTAAGACGTATTTAAACAGAATGTGTGGTAAAGTCAGTATAAGTAAACATTTGCCTGATAATTTTCCTATGGTCTAAAACAAGGAGATACTTTATCGCCATTGCTTTTCAACTTTGCTTTAGAAAATGCCAATAAGAAGGTCCAAGAAAATGGGGTGGGACTGAAATTAAACAGGACACATCAGTTGTTGGTCTGTGCTGATGATCTGACTCTACTGGGTGGTAATATAGATACCATAAAGAGAAACACAAACTTAGATTGACTCTAGTAAGGAGCTCGGTCCAGAAGCAAACACAAAGGAAACCAAGTATATGTTGGTATCTCGTCGCCAAAATGCAAGGTAAAATCATGACATGAAAATAGGTAACAGATGTTTTGAAAATGTGGCACAGTTCAGATATTTGGGAACGACTGTAACAAATCAAAACTTAATTCAGGAGGAAATTAAGAGGAGATTGTACTCGGGTAATGCTTGCTACCTTTCAGTTCAGAACCTCTTGTCTTCTCATCTACTGTCTAAAAGCATAAAAATTAGAATATACAAAACTATAATTTTCCCTGTGTTTCTGTATGGGTTTGAAACCTGGTAGCTGACTTTAAGGGAGGAACATGGACTGAGGGTGTTTGAGAACAGGGTGCTGAGGAGAATATTTGGACCAAAGAGAGATGAAGTGACAGGAGGTTTGAGAAAACTGCATAATGAGGAGCCTGACAACTTGTACGCTTCTCCAAGTATAATTAACATGATGAAGTCAGAGTGGATGAGATTGGCAGGGCACATAGCACAAGTTGGGGAGAAGAGGAATGCATATAGGATATTGGTTGGAAAGCTGGAAGGAAGGAGACCACCCACATAGGCGGGTGGACGATATTAAACTGGATCTTAGAGAGATAGTATGAGATGGTGTGGATTGGATTGATCTGGCTCAGGATAGGAACCAGTGGAGTGCTCTTGTGAACACAGAACTGAAATGTTGGTTTCTGTAAAATGCTGGGAAGTTCTTGAGTAGCTGCACAATTGGCAGCTTCTCAAGAAGAGCTCAGCTCCATCAGTGAGTGAGTGAGTGAGTTATATATACTGACCATTTGGCATTTATATTTCTTTTTATATTATTAATAATTCTATTTTAGAATTGAAAATTTTGAGGCCCACTTAACAGTTTCCATGGCCCCCAATTTTTCTGACTTTTGCCTGTGGCCCCTCTGAAATATAGCACGGCTCCCATTGAGAACCACTGCTCTAAACAGTGATGTTCTCCATGATTCACTGTATATATATAAACCATGCACCATAATCTGTAATCACAAAATGTTATAAAGGAGGGGATGAGCTGTTAACAGAAATATTATGTTGGACATTGTCAATTGTCTGGAGTATATTTAAAATACACAATTTTTCCAAAGTTGATAAGTTGCAAAAGAATTGTGTACTTTGAGTATATCCCAGATGGTGGGCAACAAAGTATGAATGAGTCACTTTCACAAGGCTTTGGAGAATCATGGGAAGTAGTATATGATGAAATATCAAATGAAGTGCACCTTAACTGGACTGCAGGTTGCTTCATCCTTGTTTGGACAGGCAGCTAAGTAACTGTGTCTATTGTGCTGCAGAATACAGGTGGAAGTGGCGAATATATCAGAGAAGAGGACTCTGCTCCATATGCTTGAGAACTTGAAACAGAAACGTGCTTGGTTGGCATTTGATGTCAAGAGGTCTAAACTTGAAGAGGTAACGTTATGTGTTGTGTAGCAAGTCACATCAGGATGTAGTGATTTGGTGGTCCTGGGTTCAGATCTCAGTCCAAAGACTGGCTCTTCTTACTGAAGTGTTTCATGCTTTTCCCCAGTTCCTCCAGGCATGCCACTTCCTTCCTTCCTTCCTTCCTTCCTTCATGTGCGTGTGCACACAAGGCTTCTGATTTAGCCAGTCTGCCAGAGGTATGTTTGTATATTTATGCTGACCTTTATGGTATGCATCCTGTTGTGTGTTATTTATGAATAGTTATAATTTGGAACAGTCACACAACAAATAATCGAAAAGAAACAAAATAGACATTACTGTGTCAAGATTTTTTTTTATTTGTTGTTGGTGGTATGGCTACATGTTTCGACCACATTTTAAAATTAAGATACACTTGTCAGTATAGAATAATCATACAGACACAATATGAATTCATATTGATTAATGATGCAATTCAGAAGCTAAACAGTATTGGTATACGTCTGAGGATGACCCAGGAAAATGGTTGAAACGTGTAGCGATACCACCAACAATGATTAAAAATGAATGTTGACACAGTAGTGTCTATTTTATTTCTTTTTGCTTTTTATTGTGCACCTATCCAAAGTTATAGCTATTCATATTTATGCGGAGTCACTTAATGAAGTAACTGGTGCTGTTTCACAGTGAGTAGAAGTAGAAGCAATGATATGGTCATGTGTATGAGTGACTACAGAGGGTGTCTGGATTGATAACTCAGTTTATTGACCACTTATGCACTCACTATTGTGACTACAATTTACAGATCACTGACACAGAGACTAGTGTCCTCAGTCTATTACAGTCACCACTAGCCATTTTCTGGCAATGGATTTTAACACAGCAACTGTAACAGTCTAACTGAATTACACATAAAATATGGTGCACCAAGTTTGAAGATGTCTAGCTTTATATGAATTATTGGGACCCCATTGGAATAACAGGCTGGAACCATTGGTATGTGATATAGAGAGACTGGAAATTATTGTAGCATATGTCAGGAGCCACACACAGGGTAAAATCACAAGTTCAGAATGTTTTGTCACGATTTTTAGTGACCATCAACGTGGTTTTGAATTGGGGATTGGATTTATTGACAACTTTAACACTTTGCGGACAGGCAATTTAAATATTTAAATCACCCTGGGGACCGGAATTTTTAAACCTACTACCCTAACTTGTGCACTGTTCGCTTTAAAAATTAATATAAAATCTCCTAATTAATTTTATGAACTAAAATTTTTGGAGAACACTTACCAATGCTCCTAGACGTGCTTGAGAGTGTGATATTTCTGGAAACATTACCCTTTGTGAAGTGGCATTACACAGAACTTGCAAATGTAAACAGTCATACTCCTTTTTTTGTGAACTGTGCGAACATGGCATTGCCTAGAAGGCTGCTTCCCCTTGGAATCTTCACTCTTCACAATTTTCACGAGGGTATGTTTCTGCATATCACCCGAAAGTCACCCAGGGGGGTCCACATGGGCCCAGTCGCACTAAGTCTGTGTCTGGCTCTGGTTCTGCCACCACCATTTAGTCTGTAACCCAGGCCTTTGCCACATTCATCGGAAATGTTTTGTATTTCAATTTCAAATCAGGGTTTAGATTTTTGTAAACCAAAAATGAATTGAAAATGTCACAGTTTATAAGCCACAAGGCAACTTTCTTTGTCCACTTTATTGTTTTCCTAGGAAGAGAATAATAGGCCAAGTATTGATCGGCTCTATCAACTTCCTTCATGAACATATTACACTCAGAAATACAAATAGGCTTCTTTACTTGTCCATGTCTCCCTTGAACATCAACCGTGCTCGAATTGTGAATTGTGGAAATCATATTCACAACACGAGTATCCCTCCAAGACTGAAGAATATCCACCTTCCTCCTGAATGTGGTTTCACCACATTTCAGGGATTTAGATTCCTCTTTCAGATCTGGAGGATGGCCTCTGCTCACCCTAACTGTTCTACAAACACTACTTTTCTTGAAAGAAGGTATTCTGCAGTTACCACACTGTTATAATAATTGTCTTGATTGACATGGTAATTTAATCAAGATAGGGTTCCAGAACGGAAACAATAGTTTCTTGTAATTTTTTGCCTTCACCAGAATAAATTTCTAAATTTCCAATATAGCCTGAAGTGCTTTCAGTAACTACACAAACAAGTAGGCCATACTTTCTTGTTCTCCAAGAGGGCGCTTGGTCTTCAACCGCTTTCGTCCTTGATCCATATTGCACTACTAACTTACTGCCTGGTACATACAGCTTGAAGACGAACAAAGGCATTTTCCTTTGGAGTTGGATAGGAAAACAGTGAGGTCGTGTTACTGACTACGAAGCAAACATTTGGGAGGTCTGTTACGCACCAGTTATGCATCTGCGTGGCGCCAGAGCAAGGTATAGTGTGTTGCAACATAACGTGTCCTAAAATCATAATATTATACACAGGTCCACCACGTTTAACCCTTCCGCGCGGTCATGTAAATTCCGCGGCCGTCTCTCCGGCGGTAATATATTCAGCCGTCCATTTAAATTTTGCTCGAAAATGATTTATTCATCATTGTTCTTAAATTATATGAGATAGGAACATGAAACTTTCACTAAAATGATCTTGAAAGGTGGTTTTATAACCTTACCTTATAATATGAGCGCCCTGTATCTCGGCAATGGAAGCAGGTTGTTTAGTATTTGAGCAGTGAATGGTACGCCTTGAAGGATGAAACTTTCACTAAAATGATCTTAAAAGATGGTTTTATAACCTTGCCTTATAATATGAACGCCCGGTATCTCGGCAATGCAAGCAGGTGACGCCTTGAAGCATTCATCTAAACACAGCGCTGGCTCACATTCACCACACCAATACTGCGTATCTTTCTTTGGCTCTTTTTTTTTTAACCACACTTCTGTGCGGCCTTGCCTTCTTCCCCGTGGGGGGAATACAAGAGGAAATGTCTCTCCGTGAGTCGTATAGGTTGCGAGATTAGCTGCAGTAAATTCAACCTTTGTGTTATCATAACAAGGGGTTGGTGCTTCTGCGTTTCAGATTCCAACCATTTTGGCTGCCCCAGATGTCGTAGGGGTGACCACAGAATTCATGAAGTTATTCTAAGAACTGGCTGGTATATAGTGAACGAAAGCAGAGCTTAGCTGGCTCAAAAAAAATATTTATGGTCATCCCTCGAAACGACCACCAAGGTCAGTACGATAAAATGGCGTCAACTGGAGCGATAATACATGAAGGAATGAGTTCTTTTCCCTCCCCCACACACATCCGTATCGTCTCAGGGGGTGACCACAGTGTTCTGCCTTAATTCGTGACGTTTTTCTAAGAACTGGGTGCTATATACTGTGCGAAATCAATCGATCATGCAAGAATAAATTTTTGGACATCCCTCTTCTAAGAATTCCAATTGAGTGTGTTAGTGTGGCCAGCTCAGGGCAATATGATATTATAAACACAGCACATATCACGTCTCTGCTGTTTATAACTTCATAGCAAAGAAAACAGTAACAGAAAACAGTAGAACGAAGAAAGCGCTCGCAATAGCCACAGGAACTTTGCTGCAAGACAGGCATATGTAACGATGACTTAGCGCTCTTAAACTCGTGTGTCATTAAATACAGTTCTCCTGAGAACAGGCCAGCGAAAAATCTAACAATCTACAGCAAAACCATCAATTATTATGGGCGTTATAACATAGGTGTGCAGCTGGACGAAACATACACGTCGAACCCCCCCAGACGATTTAAATACCTGACGAAACATACACGTCAAACCACGCTGAACGGCTAAAAGCGAAAAGCATAATATTATGCGACCAGTCCGCAGAGTGTTAACACACAACTCATTACACTTAATTATAGTGCCATTGCTGATATCCACACTTTACAAATCACTAGAGCACACAAACTAGTCTTCTGAGTCTGTTACAGTCTCCACTAGTCATTTCCTGGTAACAACTTCTAACAGTGGCCATTCCTCTCTTTTCAGGCTGAAGTCCTTTCTGAATGCCGGCTCCCTTCCAACTGACTCACTTGCCCCAGTTGTCTTCCCTATAACCCATTTCCACGGACCAAGTAGAACACACCATTTCCAACAGTACCTATATTTTTACATTCGTGTACGTTGCTGCAGGAATGTGTTTACTGAGCCATTGCCCATAAACAACCCTGGTATATCCACCTTTCTTGCAGTCAATGCACAGCAGTGGCTCTACACACTACGGTATTATAAACTACACAGAAAGGGTTAATATTCTTATTTCTATGCATATTTTTGTGCTGATTTTTGTGGTTGTATGTGTAACGTGGTATTGCCCTTTTGTAGATGAAGGCTGATAAAAACAATGCTGTGAAGGATTTAGCAATGTGTGAGAAGAGATATGAACCCATGGAAGGAATCCTTTTGGCTACAAAAGCCAAGGTGAAGGAGCTCGAGTGCAGTCTTGGAACTGTGGTGAGTGTGCAGTGTTCTGATTAATTTAATGTTGACTTTCCCAGAAAAAAAATGTGAAAATTATGGTGTATAAAATACACAGATACTAGTGTTCAGAGTATAATTTTACAAGTTAGAGTGAGGCAGTGAATATAAATACAGTGTGGCAACACAGTATGCATATTCATACCTGTTGACTGTACCATGCAGTTTCTTAATGAAGACTATGAGAAAAATTCAGTTGCTAGTTGCTATGCTGACTGGTATTTGGATTAAAAGAGTATGACCATATTGGTAGTGAACTTGTATCAGAGCAAAGGTTAAAACATATTAGAGCATCATTTCATGTGCAGTACTTCACTTAAAAGCAAATGAAAATGTGCTGCAGTGTTTTCAGCCCCTCTTCAGTTGAAAACCTTTGCTCAGCACATGGGAGTTCAGGCAAATTCTTCATGTGGTTGAGATCTGCTTGCGGTGTTCTGAGAATTGTAATAAGTTTTGGTAACCACTGTATGCTGTACCTCTTTAACATTTTTGGGTAGCTCATTAAATGTTACTGATTTTATCCTTCCATGCGATCTTTCATTATTCACACAGTGCTGAATTGTTGACATATAAATGAAATTAATTGTTTCTCTCTCTAGGGCAAAGTGACTTGTCAGCATTTGTAAACAGTAGGCTCTTATCGAGACTCCAGCCTTTGTCCTTTCTGATTAGTATTGGTTACTGAATAACTTGCATGTCTTCTTTATGGTCTTCCAGGCAGAACCTTACTGTGTATCCCTTCCCCATGTAGGTATGTGAGCGCAGTATGATGCATTGTCAACTGCCATAAATGAAGAGTCTGTTGCTTGCCCCATAGTAAAGTTGTCTGTTCCTTTAAGAATGCAGATACCAGCAGGAAACTAACTGCACTGAAGGAAATGCAGGAGTCCATTGAACAAACAGAGGATCTGATTAAAGATAACATACGAGAGTGCGAGCGGAGGATCCAGGCCGAGGAAACACGTCGGAACGAAGTACACTCACTGTTTCAGCAGATCAACAATTTGCAGAATATCTTGAAGGGATCCAACAAGGAGTCAGGTACTTAATGTTAACTTCTTCACTCTGATGATTGCTAGATGAATTTTGTATCATAGTAGGTAATTTAATTGCATATTTACTAATTTTTGTGGTTGATTGTCATGATTAATTTAAAATTTGGGAGTATTTATGTAACTGATTTTAGGCTTTCACGTTGGTTAACTATGAATGTTGATTTTGTTCTTTGGTTGTTGCACCATGGGGTTGTGGGTGATGTTACCTCTGTTTGGAAGTACATGCTGGCCAAATCTACAGGGCCAAACATGGAGAGCATGTACCTCTGAAATGTCGGCAGCATCGCCCACAGCCATACAGTGCAACAACCCAAGAACAGAATCAGCATCTGCTATTTATGTTATTTTGCACTGTGCATTTGCATTTGTAACAGTTAAACTGTGGTTTGCACTCCCTGGCATACAGCCTCCAGTATTTTTAATTTCCAGGCTGCTTTCTGGAATATAAGCAGTCTCATAGAACAGTAGTGCATATGTTTTATTTGCAAACATTTGTTCATAATTATGTTTCTCATCTATGAGTTTGAATTGTTTTAGATATTGGAAATGCTCAGCACCTGTTGTATTTATGTTATCCAGTAAAATGTTCAGACACTCCAGAGCTGTTGTCATAGTAATTGCTACCAAGCTCTTGCCATTACCTGTAATCCCAATGGTGTATTTCAAAATGTGTTCACTTTTCAAAGTCCAATATATGACCTTACAACATTACAAAAATAAACAGGCTGAGCCCAGAACGTTTGCTTTATTTTTTAATAATATTGATATATTCTGTTACTGAATTTCTTCTTTGTAATAAAATATCAGTTCAAAGACAGTGCATGTTTTTCTCATATGTAACTGAAGTTGACTACAGTACCTTGCTATAGTTGGTTACTGAATACTGAGCAACGATGAAATCAGTCTGACCATTAAATATGGCTCCGACAAAATCAACATTTTTTTTTGTTTGGGCCCCTAGTGTGCATACTATTGATTCTGTGAAAATGCCACATGTGGAATTTTATTTAGGCTGATATTACCCTTAAACTGCTAAAATATAATGAACATCATTCTGTGAACAAAGTGCCAGGTAGTACCATCCCTGGTACAGTGAGCCTCATCTGTGAATAGAATCTTAGGTAATACCGTCCATGGTGCATTGAGCCCCATTCGTGAACAGAATGCCGGGTACATAATAGCATGAAAAATAATACATTATGATTGAAGCTGCTGGCTAAATGACACACAGTGAGCTGCTCTCCTGGTAAGAGCTGCTGTACTCTTTAGAGGGGATACAGATAGAAACTGTCATGGTGCAGAATTCATCATTCCTTTGTCTATGCTACAGCAGTTCTGGAAATTCTGTCTATACTTGTACTTGGGCTTCACTGCACTGCTGCTAGAACATCAAAGTCCATGCCATCATTCTCCTTCTGCATTTGCTTGTGGGAAAGAATCAGTCACCCTGGAAGCACTGAGTACATTCTCAAATGTTTTGCATTGCTGAATTTGGCATAATGGACATTGTTGCTGCTATTCTACAGCAACCCTGCCCTTTCCATTGCAGGAACTGTATACAGAATGCATGCTGGCATACTGTTCTTCATTTGTAAATATGTTAAGCATTTTGACTTTGACCGCAATACAGTACAACACAGCTGTACTAGCTTAGGCAGTGTAAGGTAAAAAGAAAAGGTGAAGCTGTCCCTATAACAGGCCATGAAGGCCCATAGGGGTGTGAAAGGTTGAGGCTCCCACATCTTCTGGACAGTAGGCTCATAGATGGCGGTAGGGTTGTCAGCCTCACGTGCCTGCTGCCCTTTACTGCCCAGGAATATTTCTGGTACTCATTTCTGTTAGAGGGTGAGTTGACTCCAGGGCCATAGTGTGGCTGGAAGGATTAGTTCATTTGAAAAATCCAATGACCTCATTGGGAATCAATCCCATGACCTCCTGGCTTGTAGCATAGTGCCTCAACCAACAACATTACCGTGTGGTCCCAGCCGAGGCAGTGTACAAGCAGGAACTTAGTGAAGTTACAGCAGTTTCACCTTGCTCCACTATCACTTTACTCGATAACAATGTTGTATCTACCTACAGTCTGTTGGGCCTTATGTAACCTATAGAACACACTCCTGAAGTTTGGCTGATATGTTGCTGAACACTCTGCACACCAAGTATGTGACAAAGTGAAAATGGGAATTCTTGTATTAATGTAAAATATGTCCAGCACATGTTATAATGTATTAGTACTATAAATTAAAAAAAAAAAACTGTGTAACATCTTGATTGGAAGACTAGTATACAAACACAGGAAGTATATACAGTATCAGGTTATCACTGTGCGGCCTGCAAGTCAGTAGTGCTCTCCCTGCTTATGGTAAGTGCAGAAACATGGAGTAGGTCAAAGCCCAGCATTGAAGTCAGGGAACTAATGTCTTGATTCCTTCCTTTGACCTCTCTTATAGCAGACAACACATTTTGTTGGTTTCTATTCTTTGGTTGCTGGGATCACAACAGGAAAGTGCCCATATAAGATTTGAGAAGGTCTGTCTGGTAGTGATGGCCTTACAGTGCTCACTGTAGGATGAGGCTTGCCATACTTGTGAGTTGGCTTTTTGGCCAGGTTAATGAGAAATGTCACCTGCTTACCAGTCATGGTGTAGTACTGTGTGTAGTCAGCCAGATCAACACCTCTCACATCATCATAATAATTTATTATGGTGCAGGTTTCATAACCTAGCATTGTCTTGTGTGCAGAGGAACAATGTGATCATTGGAATGGTACTAGCAGAGTTACAGCTTTGTTGCCCTTCTATTTTGTCATCATTTCTTTTCCTATGAAAGCTTCCACTGATTCACCCTTCTTCAGTTCCACCGCTTTTTACTTTGTCTAATACATCACTTTTGTTTAGTCTCATTGACTCAGTGCAGTCCATTTTTCTGACTCAAGCTAGTGAACAAGGTTTGGACTGGTGTACCAATTGTAGAAGTGGTGGGTGACTTCATCTATGAACTTGCCACAGTATTGTTTTGTAGTAAAATTATGAACATACCCAGCACTGATATAGGAAAGCTTCTACATCTTGACACAAAAAAACATTTGCATTTGAGCACGTTTTAAACTGACCATCCAAGCCTTCCCTTCCACCCAAGCAAACACTCATCTGTGGTAATGTTTATGGTATTTGTTTCCAAAATTTGCTCAAAAATATTTTAGAAGAGATCATAATTTGAATAGCTTTATAGGTTTAAAGAAAAGTTTCATTGTTCACATAGTACAGAAGCTTCAGATAACAAATGCGTTATGTAAGATTTGAAGTTTTCGGTGGTGAATAAATGCGCTCAAATCTATTTGGGCGATCAGCTGTGTTAATGTTGAACTGAAAACCAACGTTTCAGAGATCTCCTTGGTGTGCATCATCAGGGTTGATGTGTTGAATGACCATATATCACTGAAATTTGTGCCAATTTGTCAGCTCAGTGCCTCTTCCTATTGGTGTACTATGCTGAAGAAGGGTAGAGTCAGACTGTGTGGTCACCCACACTTCTGTAACCTATCACCATGCTGTTTAACTTGGTGTCCCTGTTGTCAGTAATTTCATTTTCCTTTGAGCATGCCCATCCCTCTGTGATGTTGGGATATTCATGATGTGTATGTGTGTGTGTTATAGTGTCTTAAGAAACTGGTGCTGGGGTTCTGTGCTTCACTGAATTCGAACCATTTCTGTCTTTATATTGTGCGGATGCTGCTTCTTTGCTTAGTCCATGTGGCCTGATATTTTAGCGGCACTTCACTCTCATGGAACTTGATCTGGTGGCTTTATCCAATGCTGTGTTGTGCCACTGCAGATCTGTCCAGCTCATACAAACATTGATGCCATTCATGTCTTTGTACCTTGTTTCAGTGGTTAAGTCTGTATGTCCTATGGTCACTTTTCCATATTTGCATGGAATATTGCACACCCCTGAGATTTGTAGTCCTAGGTCATCTTTTTCTGACCTTGGTATGCAGGAACTGTTCTTAGTAGGGATGTGTGGACTGTCTTTATGTTAAACTTTCCCAGTAACCTGCTAATATTGTTTGATGTTGACTGTTGGAATGGTAAAGAGGCTACCTCAACCGGTATCTCTCTTTTTCTTTGTGTTCTCCTGTGTTTCTTACTTATGATGGCTGCATCATTGTACTCATTCTGTTTTTGTTAGGTGTTGGAGTTCATTGCTCAAGCATTCTGTGTCACATGTTGTCTTGGCACGGATAAACAGTGTCTTGTTAACAGATGATGGTATTACTTTACGTGGCGTTAGAGGTCTCTGAGTGAGCTTCTTGTATACTGAATGTCCCAGTGAGCCATCTGGTATGTGGATGATACCTTTGTAATCTGGCCACTTGGGATAGAAGAACTACAAAAGTTTCATCAGCATGTTAACAGTGTGTGTGCAAATACAAAGTTCACAATGGAAGTAGGAACAAACAGATTGTTACCATTTCTGGACATACTGACAGACAAAGAAATGAAAACGAGGTGGCTGACTGCGACTCAGAAATGTTTGTGTTTAGTTCAACATTGACACAGTTGATTGAGAAGACAAGCACCAACAAATGCTTTCTTTCTTCAGACAGTAATTTCTGTTGCTTGAATGCACTTGCAGGCCATCATTAGCACTGTATGGAAAATGTAGCCTCTCTGTACTGGTGCCCACCCAAGGAAGATAAAATGACCAGGTGTCATTATTGTCATCATATGGCACATAAAATTAACTGTATTTACTATCTGATGTCTGCACGCAGTCGTCATTAGCAGATAAATGATGAGAATTGACATTGCACCAACGACAGTTACTGCTAATTCTCAATCAGTCTGCTGTGAATCTAACTGAAGCCTCTCGCTTACAGCCATTTTGGTTAGATTGACTGTAGCGCAAAGGCGTTATGAAGCCCATCATTAATTAGGAAGGTTGTGTGGCATTTCACGTTGCTGCCCCCTGTAGTCTATATGAAGAACCAGTAAAATCCCACCACTTTAAGTGTACTATGTAATGGAGTAGGGTTGGCCTATCTTCTCTATACACAGGCTGTTGTGGGAAATCAGAAAGCTTTTGCAGATTAGAAAAATTGGTACCTATTTTCTGTAAAATTAGGCATAAACTAATAAGTGTGTGACACATACGTTTTGCATTTATGTTTCTATTGATTGATTTATAAACGTATTTCACAGACTTGCCAATTTTTGCCAGACACCATTCCGTAATGTAGTGGCAGTCCTCGAGCAGCTGAAACCCAAATTTCTGTTTTGCTGCTACTACCCTAGCGTGGTTCTCCTTCAGTAGACTGCCACCAGGTCCTCCAGTGACTATGTTCAGTGATTCCGTATTGAGGGGGTGGGTTTCCCCATGCACCGCAACTGATAGTCTATTGTAAATCCCCCTTTTAATTTCTACTGTCTCCATCCCCTACCAATACTGGTGCTCGCTATCAGCCCCTTTCTGCCAGCAAGGTTTCTACCCTCTACTTGGCAGTGGTGTCTAATAGTTAGTCCCTTTCTGTCAGTGAGGTAGTCCCTCCTCAGGCAGTGGTACCTAATACTTAACCCCTTTCTGCCAGTGAGGTTTCTACCCTCTACTTGGCAGTGGTATCTAATAATTAGTCCCTTTCTGTCTGCAAGGTCGTCCCTCCTCTGGCAGTGATACCTAATACTTCCCCATCTATCGGAGACATTGGAAACTATTTGGGCATGAAACTTTTGGCCTAATTTAGCTCAGAGGCCTCCTAGAGGCATGAGGTTCTTTTACGTGCCGTAAATCTACAACACGGGACCCATGGCTTAAAAGTCCCTCCCGGAGGACTTGTTCCCTGAATTTTTCCGCCTTAAAAATTCCACGACCTCCGCCGGGTTTGAACCCGCGTACCTTGAGTCATGAGGTGGGAACATTACCCCTAGACTACAGAGGCCACTTCAGTGACTATGTTAATTAATGTTATCTTAAAATTCCCTCAGTCATTCCGTACTTCCTCAGCTCTATTTCTCTTCCCTTCAGAATGCATGGTGGGGGGAGGGGGTTAGGAATATGGTTCTAAAATGATGAGACTGGATGCTTAAACTGACACTACATTTTGTTACATATTTACAGATTCACCTGTGCTCCATGCTACTGTTTCATTGTCATTATTTTAGGTCAGTTTCAATGATCTAGTCTTCACTGTTGCCATTGTTTTTCCTTTTATTTTTTTTATTTGTAGTGGGGTGGGACTAAATCCCTTGTACTGCAGCCACTTCTGGCCTACTGTGCCAGCCACAGATGATATGTGAGGGTGATTGTGGAGCAATTGGTGGAATGAAGATTGGCAGGGGAAACGAAGTACTTGGAGAAAACCTGCCCCAGTGCCACGTTTTCCACCACAAATCCCACTTGACCAGACCTGGGATCGAACCTGGGCCACCGTGATGGGAAGCCAGCGACTAACTGCTTGAGCTATGATGCGGCCTCATTGTTTTTCCTTACTCTGGCTTCTCACATTCCTGCTGGAATACCCTTGTTCGCATGTTCTGCCTCCTCTATTAACCTAAACTTACCTTTTATAGCAGCAATCACTAATATAGTCATGATTTAGGGGCGTGAATGGATTTATTGACTTACACATACCACTCAGAACTTCAAGCACTTGAAACGCTATCACTGATTTTCGCACTTTACTAATCACCACATCACCTACTAAGCCTTTTTTCACCCTGCTGTGTCTTCATCATCTGTTCCTTGGCAACAGCTTCTAACAGTGCAAATTCTTCAGTTTCCTCTGCTCTGGTTCCTACCTCCACAGCCTCCCACTCAGAACTCAACTCTCAACTAACAACTGCCAGGCTGACAGCCATTTCACACTGACCTCCAATTCTTTTCTTCGCAGCCTCCCATACAGAACTGCCTCTCAACTGACAACTGACAAGTAACTGGGTTGCCCCAGTTGCCTTCAGGATAACTCATCAGCATGGAACGAATAGAAAACACTGTTTCCAAGAATAACTGTGTTGTAGAGGTGTGCTTACCATGCTGTTACATAGCAGTGATTGTTGTCCTGTCATTTGTTTTGAGGTTATTGCCAAGCAACAGATCTATATGCCACAATTTTAATGAGCAGCCATCTTCATCTGGCAACACTGGATATTTTTTAGTTTTCCACCTTATTTGTCAGTGCACAAGCTGTGATGATCAAGCTCTTAGCTCGACTCAAAGAGTTTTGGATTCATGGTTGCTGCTGGCTCCTTTCATTTTCCTCCTTGGTCAGCTCTTGTTTCGGTGTACTGATTGAACTGAACTGTCTGTTCTAACCCACTTCCTGGTTTCGGCCAAGGGTTAATCCCTCTTGGCGATTTGGCAGATCTTTTTCTTCATATCTGGCTAGTGCAGTTGATGTTCTGTGTTTATGGACCGTGCTTACTAAGTGCTCTTTAGGCCCTTGCAGTTCATCCACCTCTTAATCCTTCTGAATTGTACAGTCAACTACTTTACATTCTTGAAAAGATTAAAATCTGAATCCTGATATACTCTCACTGCAGCTTGATGCTATTCACGTCTTTACCTAAGCATGCAGTGTTAGTACAGCTATCCCTCATTTTATGAACACTTTATTTATGAATTTTGGCTACAGTGAAGCAGGTTAATTTGTACCATTCCCCCCCCACCTCTTAATGAACTTCTTTCCTGCTGCAGCAAGTATCTTACAAGGACTTGTACAAGTAAAGTAATGAGAATTTAATTTTCAGTTTATGAATTTTTACCTTATGAACTCTTTTCATGGAACACATTACCTTCATAAATTGAGGAATGCTTTATTTCATTTTTTGTGTATGCATGCTCCTTAAGTTGTCTTTCTTTTTGTGTCTTCCAGTAAATGTCCTTAATGCTGAGCTGGATTCTGTGCGAAAACAATTGAATGAGAAAGCAGATGAGATAAACGGGTTGAGCCATGAGAGAGAGAAGCACCGGGATGGTCTTGAGAATATTGTACATGAGATCAAGAGTAAGTACTGTGCGGTCTGCAAACTGTGGAGCAGTACACCTCTACTAAGTGCAGCAGCAACCATGTGACACTAGACAACATTTTCTGGCTGTATTTGGTTCAACCTGGACTTTGTTTTTATTATTGGGGGGGGGTTAAAGTAACCAGCGTATGGGATGTGTGTCCATGCTATAAAGGTTTTACTTATATCAGCATCAACCTGGTAGAGAATGTTTTGGCAGTGAAAGTGTAAAATGGCACTTTAAAGCAAAATTGATTGGAAAGAGTTAAGATTTTATTTGAAAATCTTATATTAAGTTCTTACATGTGCATCACAATAATGTTATATGGACCTTAGCAGTGCAAATATTTTATATTATAAACATATACTCCAGTTCATATTGGCCATGAAGCACTTAAAGCAGCCTTAATGTTTGTGAAATATTATTATGATGATCATGATTAAACCAGCTGTTCACTTAACCCTTTCTTTATTTCCTTTAACTCACTGATGTGGCACTATGAAACAGCTTTTACAGGGTATTTAAGTTTTAAGTGATATCTTGCTAAGTTAGAAGGCGCAGTGGGTTAAGTGAAAATATGAGCTGATTTTGATGAATATGGTAAAAAGTTTCATTTGACATTTATGTCAAGTAGTGGTCATAGTGTTCAGTTTAAACGAAAATGAAGTTGGATGAAACTTCATCATGATGACTCATGAACTGGAAACATTTGAATGGGCAAACATCAATAGTGATGCAAAGAGTTTTGTTAGATGCAGTAACCATGATGTTGTTCCAGTACACGAAAAGGATCAGGAAAAGATTCTGGATGTGGCAAATCAACGTTTGGAGTTGTTACGTCTGAAACAGAAAGACACATATGATGCTGTGTTGTGGCTTCGTGAGAACAGGAACCAATTCCATCACCACATTTATGAGCCCATGATGTTAGAGGTAAGAATTACATCATAAACAGAAAGATCCAGTCATGTGAAAATGACTGTGCTGTTGATTCTGGCAGGTAATGGATTTATGTAGCACTAGGTCCTCTTATCTGTTACTGTCTTCAGGTATTTACAAGGGTTTGTGGTCGGGTGCTTGATACCTCTTGTTTCTTTTTTTAATGTTGAAAACGTTAATTTATGAGGGTACAAATGGAATTAAACTGTTAGTAACAGAATTTGTTATGTAAATAACATAATTTGTAACATAAGTAATGAAATCTCTAACAATTTGTAATTATTAGTACATTTCTAGGCAACGGCAATTTAACACCTTATCACATCAATGAATCAACACAAAACAATAGAGGAAGCAGATAAACCATGGACACAATGTTTTCTATGCGGTTAATGCTGGAACCTTATGAATACAAACGAAATACGGTAATAAATGCGAGGTGTATGGCGGATTCAGTTCCACTTTTTAGTGTATGATGCAATGCTATGGGCAGGCTGGCAGCATATGATGTCATGCACTTAAGATGTCTGCTGGTAATAGTCGTGCTGCACATATGAGAGTGTACAGGAAAAGGAAGCAATTGGAAGAAGATAATTGTAATAATGTACCCCAACAAACAAAGTTAAATACCGAATGACAGTGTGGATATAGAGAAAAACACAAAAAGTTATAAGTTGAATACATGTGTAATTACAGAAAATTCAAAGCTCAAGAAATGTTTCAATAAAGCTGTAATTGTAATGTACAAAGTAGATTTATTCCAGTTCCCCCCCCCCCTTGGCACTACAGCCCCAGTGAGCCCAGGCCTACCTCCATGAACTTCTCCGTTCACTTCGGTTTTTCTAGATCTTACACATTCGGTAGGACTCCTTGGGCCAGTGATCAGCTTGTCGCAAGGCCTCTACCTGTAGACAAACACAGAAAAACGCACACAAATATCCAATGCCAGGAGTGGGATTTGAACCCACGATCCTGGCTTCCGAGCGAGCGAAGACAGTGCATGCCTTAGACCGCTCAGCTACTGTGACCGGCTAGATTTATTCCAGTACAGACCCCAATTTCATTATGTTTTTCCACATTAAACCTGGGAACCAAGGTTCCCCGGTCACTTTTTTCTACCTTTGTTGTCTTCTTCTGCAGTCTCCTTGAAGCATCCTCCTCATCTTAGTAGCTTGTTGCACCAAGGTAGCCGACTAACTAAGAGGGGGCTTGAACTGAAACCACACCCAGAACCGTGACTTGCTGGCATGTTGCTTTATGTTGTAGCAGACCACCTTGGAAATGTAGTTCTCAGCTATATCTCGACTGTTGTGTATGTACATGGCTACTGTGGGGTTTGTGCTTTCCATTGCCAAGTGAATAGACATCTGTGATGTTTCTGTCATTCCAGCATTCTGAAGCTTACATATTTTATACATCCTAGTTACAATTCATACAGACATACAGCAGTCAGAAGAAGTTGTGTTTTGTCTATAGACCAATTTGTTCTTTGGTTACAATGATTAAGGATGACATTTGTGCACTTCTATGGTGAACTGACACATTACATCATGACCCATTTAGCCTCATATAAATGGCCTGTTTAGATGGAATGTTATGTTTCAATTGGTGATTCTGATGTGCTTTTTATGGACTCCTAAAACACATCACACAGTACTGTAACGTTCTCTGTGTGTATGTTCTGATGGGTCTCCTAATAGTATATTGATAATTAAGGTTTATGTGAAGGGATGAAACAGAGTCCCCACACTTGTCAGAGTGACAGTGGCTTTCTGTTTCAGATCAACATCGCCAATCCATCTAATGCCAAGTATGTGGAGAATGTGATATCAAAACGAGACTTACTGGCTTTTACTTGTGAAGACAAAAAAGACATGAACAATTTCGTGAATATCCTTCGGGACCAAAAAAATTTGAAGGTTAATGTTCTGCATTCAGGAAGTGAACACCCATCATCTTCCACATTTAAGCCAAATGTTGCAATAGATAACCTTAGGTAAGTTGTACTGACAACCAAGTCTCTAGTAGCAACATCAAGAGGTTTAACAGTGATGAGCTGGTGGAACTTAATTCACATATTCATCTCTGAGATACATTTCAGTATTATCCTACCTCTTTCAAGTCTTCCTAGTAGCCACTTTTCAACATTATATATATACAGGGCTTGAGGTGGGGCGGGATGGTATCCCGGTTCTTTTCTAAATGGCTTAAAAGCATCCAATTACTTCTTTGGCAGTAAATGCAATGTACAATACCCAGGGCTTGAGGTGGGGTGGGATGCAGCGGGATGGCATCCCGGTTCTATTTTCATTCCACCTCAAGCACTGCATATATATATATATATTGACACGTGTCACACAGTGATTAAGATGCGGGTTTGGATTTATTAACGGCTTACAGGTCGTAACTACAATTAATTATTACACTATTACTGCTTTACACAATGTACAATCACTCCACACTAATCTCTCGAGTCTGTCTGCACTAGTCTTCATGGGTTTATATCACAGGAACTATAACAGTCTCCCTGAATCACACACTCCAACCATTACACATAAATACAGTCTTCTAATCACACGTTAATTCTTCACAGGCCGACTTCTATTTCTTCAGCTATGAACTTCCCGTGCCTATCTCTTTGCTTGCTTGTTCATGTGCTTCTGCTGTTGTTATTCATAACGTGTGACTGCTTTTCTTATATAGCTGAGGAACAGACATGCATCACAGAAAACACAGCTTCCTCTATTGTTGTGTAACCCAGCAATGGACTGTGAGTAAAGCAGTCTTCTGGGATGTGGCACCATGTAGATGTGGTGTAACCGACGTTTCAGAGGAACGTATTGCCTCCATCTTCAGGGTAGAAGGAAAAATAAGAAAATCCATAAGTGAAGAGACAGTGAGAACAGTTCCAAGCAGAGCAATGGACTGTTTACCAAGAATCTGTCTTTGTGGGAACTTGTTTATGAACATTTTGCCTAGCATTGGGTGCAAATATATCTTTGCTCCCTCATTAAGGCTGTTCATCCTGAATAGCCTAACAGTGTATCACCTTTCCTTCTTTATGCAGGCTGTGCTTTCAACATCTTCCTGAAAGCTGTTCTTTTTTTTTTCCCCTCTCTCTCTCTCTCTCTGCGGTAGCTGCTCTCTACCCGCTACCACTGGTCCCTCCTTTAGGCCAGCTCATTCTGAGGAGGTCCTTTATAAGGTGCCAGTTAGTTCAGGTTCTCACCATCATCCATAGTTTTTTTTTCCCAACAGTGGAGCAAAATTAACCCAAGTGGCGGGGGTTCATACATTTTTGGCTCTCTTATGCTAACATTGCTAGTAATGCTAGTAGGTTCTTTTGTTTGGAGCAGGTTGACCCCTCCACAACATCCGATCCCTGTTTTCTCACTTTGGAGGGTGCTGAACCCTCCACCCTGTCCAGTCTGTCATCTTCCACACCCCGCTGAATATCCCGGGTTTTCTCGTCATGAACTCTAGAATGAAAGCTTTCTTGTCGATCCCATCTGACATCAATCTTAAGACAAAACTGCTGTCTTGTGCCTGAGTCCTTTATTCTGATTTTGCATTCTAGGCCCTTCCAGCATTTCATCCTGATGTCTGTCCCTTCGGGGTTGTTGGTGCCATATCGTATTTTCCTTGTCTCTGAAGTCCGTGTTCCTGTGTCATGCCACTTCTGCACAGCTGGTCATCTCCCTGCAGCTGCAGCCAATTCCTTCTGTGGTCCAAAATTTCCTGAAGACTTTTCCCTTGTGCCATGGCACTGCTTCCCGACAGGACACCTTCCTGCAGGCAGCAGCCAACTTCCTCCGGGATCCACAATCTCCTCAGGTCAGTTCCTTTGGCTCTCCGCATCACCCTGCAGCTATCTTCCAGCCCCTATGCTGCTTGTTCCATCCTTTCACCAGTTTCACTACAGCATCTTCCTTAGGGACCTCCTGATGCTCCGACTCGGACTCCCATTTCATCAGGATTTGTCTTTAAATCTGTGGTCTTGCTCACTTCTCAGTCTGCCTGAATCTCTTTTTGCCAGCCATCCAGTTTGGCGGGTAGAGAACCAGACTGTTTTTCCATTATTTTTATAATGTGTTCTTGGCTGGCTCTTATTTCTTGTTGCATTTCATCTCTGTCAGTTTTTCTGGTAGCCTCCATTATGGAGACTAGTGAACCTGTCTGCCTCTCCATCCTTTCTTGCATTGCTTTAGTATTGGTGTCCATCCTTTCTTCGGTGGCATCCATTTTTTGTTGCATTGCTTTAGTATTGGCTTTCATCCTGGCATCAGTTTTTGCCAGCAGGCATTCCATCATTGGTTCCATTTCCACAGTGTCGTGATATACTACCCGATACAATCGTAAATCCAATAATCTGATCAATCTGATCCAATCTGTACCACTTCTAACACCAGTTGTCACGTGTCACAGTGACTAAGTTTGGATTGTTAATTGGATTTATTAACAACCTACAGGTTGTAACTACAATTAATTGTTACACTATTGCTGCTATACACAGTGTGCAATTACTCCACACTAATCTCTTGAGTCTGTCTGCACTAGTCTTCATGGGTTTATAACACAGGAACTATAACAGTCTCACTGAATCATACACTCCAAACTTTACACGTAAATAAGGTTTTCTAATCACACATTAATTCTTCACAGGCCGACTTCTATTTCTTCAGCTGTAAGTCGGAAGGTCGCAGGTTCAAATACCGATGAGATCATTGGATTTTTTCAGTTGACCTAATCCTTCTGGCCACACTCTGGCCCAGGGGTTCACTCAGCCTCTAACAGAAATGAGTACCAGGAATCAAATAAATAATTTTCCTGGGGAGTAAAGCGTGGCCGGCACGTAGGGCTGACAACCTTGCTGCCATCTTTGAGCTGATTGTCTAGATAATGTGGGACCCTCAACGTCTCACAACCCTATGGGCCTTCATGGCCTGTTACAGGGATAGCTTTACTTTTTTACTTTTATGAACTTCCCGTGCCTATCTCTTTGCTTGCTTGTTCACGTGCTTCTGCTGTTGTTATTTATAACTTGTGACTGCTTTTCTTATATAGCTGAGGAACAAACATGCCATAAGATCACTATCCAGCTAGTCCATTGTCGTGTTGGTCGGATCTACAGAAAACGCAGCTTCCTCTACTGTTGTGTAACCCAGCAATTGACTGTTTACCAAGAATCTGTCTTTGTGGGAACTTGTGTACCAACATGTTGCCTAGCAGTGGGAGTATGTGTAATAGTATCATTTGTTTCTTCTGTGTGATCTCCATGCCCATCCCCTGGTATCCTCCTTGATTGCATTAAAGTGGTATTTTTTTTTCTTAAATTTCATGCCTTAAGTACAGGGGTACATAAATTATGTGAGTACCATGGTATTTTCAGAGTCTAATTTCTGCTTAATTTTATTTTTTAGCTTATGTAATTTGTGCTTTACTCTTCAGGCAGTTTGGATTCCACACTTACTTGATGGACATGATCAGTGCCCCTGAAGCAATCATGAAATACCTCTGCAGAATGTATCAGATCCAAAATATTCCTGTTGGGGATGCCAGAACATTCACTCTCTTTGACAAGGTGCCAGCTTCAGTGCAATGTTTTTTCTCTGGTGAGTATTATATTTTGTCCTGAACTTATCAGAAACACACAGTTTGCATTCTCTATTCTTCTCTTGTCCCCTGATAAGTATTTCTCTGGTGTCTGTATATGTTCTTCCCTGTTTTCTTTAACACAGCTTCCCTTATTCAGTCTGTCCATTTTGGCCACTTGTCAACTGTCTTTGATGATCCAGAGGAGTCCTGGTGGCTTCCATATTAATATATGCCTGTAACACTGCTGTTTAACGTTTCTTATGCAGTTCCTATCTTCAGATCATGCCTATCTCCTGTTCATTTCTTAACTCTTTGATTTCTTGTTCGACATACTTGTTTTAGAACTTTCACATCTGAAGAGATCAGCTTGATGTTAATTACTTAGTACAGTGGTCCTGTTAAAAGATGGTGTCTGATGTAATATGCCAATGTATAGAAGAAACGACAGGTTTTCGCTTTATCTACCCCTTTGTTCATTTGAAGGTAATCTATGAAAGAATTATGAATATTCTTTTGCAGCTTTGTTTATCCTGAAGTGGCTTTAATGTTTCTGGCAGGTAGTTCTGTTGTGGGCCTTGGCAGTCAAAGGGTTAATACTCATTAGTACTCTCTACACATTGTAACCTACTTACATGTCTCTTGGGTCGTGTCTTGTTTATGCTTTGTACAAAATAAGCAAGCAGTTTGTTTTATAGAACATAATTTCAATTTTCTGAGATTTCCCAGTTCCTAATTATACTTGTATATCTGATTGTGGAAAATTTCCCAGTACATCCAATTTTCTGTCTAATCTTTTCTTGGAGTTTTACATTAGTGAACTGTTGTTGTCTGAATAAGAAGAGTACTAAACCTTTCTTATAGTTTTGCTACAGGAAGGATTTTACTTTGTTGACTGGTTCCATGGCTCTGTGCTTTATGGCAATTGGTGCATTGCCAGCTGTGAGGTGCATACGAATTTTACCGATGGATCACCATGCTTGATAACTGATAATGTTTGGAATGAAGTAGTTAAAAATTTGCAGATCACGGGAGGTGCTGAAAGTGCTGTCCCTCTACACATTGATATCTTTCACAGTTAAGTGTTTTGTTAAAAACACAGGTACAACAATCTTTGCACTTACAGGACATGAGACACAACTTTCACCAGAAAAACTGGGACTTCATGAGTTAGATGTGGATTCTGTGAACTCCAGTGATTATTTTGCAGGGGAAACCACACTTCCTTAGAATAGAACGTCAGTTGTGGATTGATCTCACACTCAACGACAGACTGTAGAAACCACCTGCAAAAATGAACCCTGTTAGCTGGATTGTGCAGCTGCAAGGCATGGATCACTCTTCTTTTAAGAGGTCTAAGCTTCATCAATTGCGTTTCCATTCTTACACTAGATTTTCACACTCCATTCTCCTCAGCTAGACATTTCAGTAATTTTATAGTTGTATGCTCAAGTTTGGCTTGTATGTCATCTTATTTCTCCTCAGTAAGCACTTGGCACTTATGTTTTTGTTTCTTGTCTATTAAGAGATCCATCGACCAAATTGTGAATTGTTTGTCTACTGGGAACTCTTTCATCACAAAATTTATATTGAAATATTTGCCAACACTTTCTAGCATATCTGTATTTCACACGGGTGTCATACAGAAATATATGTTGCTCTAAAGAATACCACATCCTGATGCACCACACTGCTCACTAGTTGAGAACAAATGGCTAATGGAGCTGATAAGCATTGCCTACTTCTGACAAATCATAAACAAACTCTTACACATGAACCACACTGCTTGCCTTGAAACAGTGCTGTCCAGCTGTCTACAAGTTAATTTGTTCCCTTCATTCCAAATGTTATTGGCGCTCAGGTATGCTGATTCATCGGCCAAATTTGTATATGCCTTGTGGCAAGCAGTGCACCAGTCTCCATGAAGCTCTGAGCCATGAACTGGTCAACAGAGTTAAAAAACACTCTGTACTTCTTGCATGTTCCTGTCAGGCAGCTCTCAGCACCAGTAAATAATATTTCATGAGGAAAGTACAAAAATATTATGTTGTGGCATTTAGGAGACAGAACCAACAAGAAGTAAAGTGTTAATAATAACAAAACACTGGAACATGTTAGTATTCTTATTTATCCAGAATGTGGCCTCTCTTATGAAGTAGAAAAAAGCTCACAGTGGAAGAACTTGTTTATATCAAAATTCTGGGTGTCCTGAAACACATATGTGTTACTGTAAAGAATCAAAATAATCTATTGTTTTAAAAAATGATGTGGCAAAAAGTTGTTAGCCAAGAGGAGGGGGAACAGTGTTGGTTTAAATGTATTTCATGAGCTGGAGCCACAGCCAAGTACTGATACAAAAGGAATAAATTGTTAACCTGTACTAAGAAGGTATATAGTGAGAAGACATCCTGATGAATTATGGACCCTGTCCCATCATCAGATTCAATATACTGAAACACATTTATAGAATCTGTCCCATCAGAATTACTAAACTGACATATCTGTAGAACCTGTCGCATCTGGAGTACAGTTCACACATATTTACATAATCTGCCCCATCATAAGAACTGTACTGACACAATTACAGAATGTGGTTCATGAAGAGAAAATTCTGAAACAAATGACACCGTTGCCAAACAATCCATGAGCTCGCAGACACTGTTGGGATCAGTTATGGAGTTTGCCAGGAGATCTTAACAGAAAATTTGAACATGTGCAGCATTGCTCCTTCATCACGACAACACACCCACACACATTCCTGAAAACCACAGAGATTCTGACTAACAGCAGCGTGGTTATCATTCTCCATCCTCTCTCTACTCACTAGATTTAGCCCCCTGTGATTTTGCTTTGTGTCCCAAATTGAAAATGAAACTGAAGGGATGACATTTTGAAACAGTATCTAAAATCCAAAGGGAATTGCGAGTGGTGCTTGACAGCATTAAGGAAAATGACTTCCATGGTGCTTTTGAAGCATGGAAAATGTGATATCGCTGTATATGTTCCCATGGAGACTATTTTGAAGGAGATGGCAGCCAAAATTAAGTTAAGCCAGCATTTCTTTTTTGACCTAGTCCAGGAACTTTCCAATAGAACCTCGTATTCTACATTGACACAGTTATGGAACCTTTCCCTCTGGAAGCAGTGTACTGCCACAAGTACAGAATCTTGCTCTTTGAAGTCCTATACCAACACAGCTACAGAAATACCATATTGACATTATTATGGAACCTGTCTCATTGGAAGTACTGCATTTGCACAATTACAGATGCTGTCCATCTCAAGAGCAGAACACCAATATGCCCCACTTGAAAGTACATCTTACCTTGCACAGGCTCTGTTTTACTTTTACAGAAAATCATTTCATTGTTGTGAGAATGTCTAAGTACTCTGGAGAAAAATCGACACAAACCTGTGATGTGCCTGCACCTGTCTATCTCGCCATTTCAAAGAACGTAGAGCTTTTGCAGAAAATACAGGCCAGGCAAGTTTCCTTCTCATTTTGTGATACAGTACTGAGAGGTATAGCATGTGTTAAGAGGGTTCTGGTATTAGAGATGTGTGACACTCAGGCAGTGTAGTTAAATCATTTGATATTAATTGAGCTGTTTCTGCTGTGTCTTCCATTAGCCTTAAATATTTTCAGGGACATTCATTTACATATGTTAGTAACATGTAGGACCTTGTGTGGTTATGTTTCCTCAGTCACCAGTTACTGTAATGTTATAGAATATCACATACAATGCAACCTTGACATAAAGTGGATTTATAAAAGACATAAAAATGTTTGTTTTAACATAAAATCTGAAAATGTTAGAAATGCATAACCTTCAGGCCTGTTTCCTAACTTCTAGGTGATTATACAAGGGTTGGATAAAAAGTAGTGGCAACACTGCTGTAACATGAAAGAGGTGCATCAGGTGGCACTAGCACCATCTGTAGCTGATAGCAGAAGTTCAGTTGAAGTAGTGCAGTGAGAGTCTCTGGGTGTGTTTCATTGAGTTGCATTGTGCATCGTGTTGAAGCGCAGGAGCCCGGTTAAAACATCCTAACAACATGTTCACAGAACAAAAACAACGCTCCTGGATAAAAACTGAAGTTGCACGAGGTTGTAGTGTACAAAACTGTTATCAGGGACTGCGAGAAGCATGTGGTGATGCTGCTTTGCCATATCGCACAGTGGCACAATGGGTGAAAATGTTCCGTGAAGGGGGGGATGCCATTCAGGACGACCCCATGTTGACAACCACACAGTTCAGCTTCTTGCTAAGTGCAGTTTTGCATGTGAATAGAAAAATCATGTTGTGACATGAAGCCCTTAAGGCAGAATAGCAGAGCCAGGAAACATCGCCATTGCTAGGCAGTAGCACAGTGTGCACGTTTCTGTCATATCAAATATAGCTGCAACAACAGAACAGCAGCAGGAAGCCATGTTCCCAGCAGTTGCAGTTGGTGGTTGAGCCGTGAGCATGGAAGCAGAGGAATCTCCACTGGTAGAAGCTGCTACCTTGAAGACAGGACATACTGAGAAGGCTTGGTGTGTGCTATAATGATCTCTAGTGACAGTGTTATGGTTATTTGTAGTTATGAGTCATAAGAATTCAGTAATAAATCCAAACCTCATGTCTTGTCACTAACATGTGACAGCTGGTGTCAGAATTGGGATTGGATTAATTGAATGATTGGATTGAAGACTGCATTAGATATTTATATCAACATGCTACAAAACTGGAGCAAATAATCAAACTCCTATTGGGTGAAATGAGAGAAACTTAAGAGTTGGTGAAGGCCAAGCAAGAAACAGTGGAGGTCTGTCAAGAAAAGGTGGACACTGTGCAAGAAAAGATAGAGGCATAGGTGGGCATATCGGCATGGGTGCTGGCCAAGAAGTGATGGAGGCCTATCAAGAAGAAATGGAGATCAGTCAGGAACAAATCTCGAATCAATGTACAAACAATGAACGCCCCAGTAGAAACCGTGCAGCATAGACTTGAGGCAAGGCTAGCAAAAGTCAAAGCCTGAGCTGAGGATGGATGTGGCAGCAGAACAGGAACCAATGTAGGAAGCATAGAGACATCAAAGTTCAGTGGGTCAGCATCTTTGCAGTGTTTTACCACCAGTTCATTGCTGTGGTAGAGCACTATAAATGGCATCACACATAAAAGCCACATGCCTGCTTGCTACCCCCTGAGGCCAGGCTTTTGATGTTCTTAAAGATAGATATGACACTTTGAGACTGCTTTGGGTACCAGCACCTTGCTGCAGAGGACCTAACTCGGTGAATCCCTGCAAGGATTTTCCACTGTCATCATATAATTGGCCCACCATGCCCTTTCTTCTCTACCTGAAGACCTGCGTATGAGGTGACAGATGCTGGATACAAAATGACTGACACTTGGGGAACAAATGGGAGCCAGCGAGAAGGATAAACAATGCTCAAGAAATGAACAGAAGTCAGCATGAAGAGATGACCGACCCTTGAAAATCAAATGGAACCTGATGGGAAAGTGAACATTCCATTCCCACCCTATAGCTTTCTGTTGCACGTCAGAGCTGAAATGGATGACAGTCTGATTGCCCAGGATTGGATTGGTTACAAACAGTGCCCTGTGATTGTTGATGCCAGAGAGTCTGTTAAAATTGTCAGAGCTAACAACACCTCACAATAGCCCTGAAGGAAGCCTTAGTGGAACTGACCCAGGGACAGAGCCCAATACCTGTCTGGGTGCTCATCATAGAAATCACAGACCAGTTCATCCTAGGACTAGATGTTCTGCGCATCTATGGTGCATTCGTGTATCAAGGGCACCACATGCTGAAACTGTGTCAGGAAGAATGATCAGTATGGAGCTCCTGCACAATGGCACCGGTCTTCCTGTCTTGTGGCATTGAGTGACCATGCGATACTGGCATGATGCAAGAGAGTAGTGATAGCACATCTTGAAATCTCCCTTGGAGTGGAAAAACAGCCTGATAGAACCAAGCTCAATGCATTGGAACCCCAGACCCAAGAGCCCACCCACAGTTACAGGACATGATTGTGACTACCACACCACACTTAAGCAACAAAGAAAACCAAGAATTGAAAGAACTAATTATGAGTAACAGAGATGTCTTTATGACAAAGAGCAGTGCCTATGGGCAGACAAACAGAATGTATCAATGCTGGAGAGGCCTGACTGAATCAACAACCCCAGAGGAGGCTCCCTATAGCGAAACAGGCAGAAGTGGGCAAGATGCACCAGGATATGCAATGATTCAATGTTGCTGAAGAGTCAGGCAGGATATGGTCATCTTCCATTCTCATCTGGAAGAAAAACGGCAACCTCCATTTTTGTGTAGACTACAGGAAGCTGAATGACATTACAAATAAAGCCTATTTTGCACTATCTAGGTTGGTGACACATTTGACGTGTTCATCAAAGCCAAATGGTTCTTCACCCTAGTAACTGAAGAGTGGATATTGGCTGGTGACACTATACTCTGATGATGGGCAAAAGACGGCTTTTTTGATGGTTCAAGGGCTCTGGCAATTCACAGACATGTCTTATGTACTCAGCAACGTTCCAGTGATGTTGGAGTGGTTGATGGAAACTCTTGTGAGGTCTGACTTACAAGTCTTGCGTGGTGTACCTGAATGATGTGATTATAATTGACTGCATGTTCCGAGAACAACTGCACAACCTACAGTAAGTATTCCATTGATTCCAAGAGGCCCATCTAATGTTCATCCCAGGAAAGTGCAAACTCTTTCAGAAGGGTGTATGGTACCAGGGTAACATTGTCTAGCCAGAGGGTGTGACCACAGACCCAAAGAAAAACTGAATGTCATGTGGGAATTGCTGACACCAAGGGAGGACAAAGGGGCTTTCAGAGCCTGTGTACTTACTACAGGCAGTTTATCTCCGACTTCGCTGACATCGCACAGCAGCTGACCAGACTCATAGATGAGAAACAAGCCTTTGCATTGGTCCCCAGGACTGGAGGCCACCTTCCAATCACTTAAGGAGGCCATCTGTACTGCACCCATCCTAGGTTACTTGCAACCAGGAGAGAAGTTCATTGTTAACACAGACATGAGTAACATCAGAATTGGAGTACTGTCTTGGGTACAGGATGGCCAGGAGCAGGTAATGGCCTACTACAGACAGTGAACAATGCAGGAAGAAATTACTGCATCAGCTGGAGGGAACTGCTGGTCACCATGAGGACACTGGAACGCTTCCATGAATACTTCTACGGACAAGAATTCCACATGCGCACCAACCATTCCACGCTAACCAGGTTCATGGCTGTTAAGAAACTGGAGGGGCAAGGAGTCAGTTTATTAAGATGTTATTTTTGCTACATGTTTTGGTCATTTAAAACCATCATCAGTCACTTATGAATAACAAAATGCATCCACATTCATTACTAGACACGCGTTCTAGTAATGCAGAGAAACGGCACACAGAGTGCATACAAATCATCTTTCCTCCTCGATTTTCCTTTTGAGACACTTTGCAATTTCTTTTTAAGGTGGCCAGGATCTGAATGAGTTATTGGTTTCGAATAATCCCAGTCCAGTTAACCTTCTTGGTCTTTCTTTCGCCTTGGACTAACTGTAAAGGATGAAAAATTTTGTCTCACTCAGCCTGGATTAGTGTCTCACTGAGAAGAGTTCTTTCTCTGTCTCTTCTGTAACTGAGAAATATTGCGTTGAGACATTGCAAACAGAAGTTAAAAGAAAGATCTTGTCTCCTGATTTATTGTATTTACTTATGTATTAGGCCAGTCTGTGCCATGTGTGTTAGTGTTACTTCAGTTTCACCTTTGTTGTGCCTGCCCCTTTGCTCTGGGCATTTGCACTTTGTGTTGTGTGGAGAATTGGTGGCATAGTTATAATCTTGCTTCCATTCAAAAGTGACCTCCTGGTTTTAGTTTTGTAGATTTTTAAGTGATTTTAATGATATTTCTTCTGAGTATGATTTACTTGCCAAGAGGTCTTCTTACTGATATATTTGACTGAGGTTGGTTTTGACAGTGAATATGTTGACTGTTTCATTAACAATATTTCTTGTCCTAGGGAATGAAGCAAATGAAGTTTCTCCCAAATTTTTACAATTAAATGAATTCATAATAATCTGTAGCTCAATGCTCAACTTGCCCCTTGGTGAGCATAATCCAGAGTGAGTGTAAACCCTGACTCTGCCTCATTTTCCATATGTCTCTCACAGAGTGTACAGGATGAAATGGCAAGTGTTCAGGTTTACTGTTTTCTTTTTATTATTTCAGTCTTCTGCCTTTTCCTCTCTCTGTTTTTATGTAATTAAAAATAAAATTACAGTACATTTTACATGTACTCTTTTTATATATGCCCATTATATACCTATTGCAGGGTACATAGAAAAACATGTACTTTATGGGCGATATAAGGGATTTTTAAGGGCAATTCTGACTCTTTGCATTTTAGGTTTACTGACACCTTCATAGGATATGACTCCACTGGAACCTGCCTGCTTCTGACTTTAGTGTCAAAATCTGATATTCAAGTAATGAGTTATGTCATTACAGGTTGAGTAGTCTGAATACAGATAAGCAGGAAAAAATGAAGGCATTGGAACATGTACAGAGACAGATTTATTCCGCTGAACAGAAGATGGAAGAACTGCGCTCCAAGAAGCACAGTCTGATGGAGCGCCTGGAGCAGCTGCGAACTGTGCAAGCAAGACTTGGTGCGAAACAGAAGCAGCTGCAGAACCTGGAACAAGACAAGGTGGACCCTGTGTTAGAGAGAGCTAGGTGCAGGAAGGACACTCAGGTACAGTGTCAAACTACTTGTGATTACCTGCACTGGGAGGCCATGCCAGAGTTAGTCTCCAGCTTCTTATTATGGCACGCCAGTTCAATCCAGACTCAGTATTCTGAATGATTCATTATGGTTAATGCAGATCTTTATGTTCAGAAGGCTCTGGTTCAAATCTCAGTTCAGAAACCAGTTTCAATGTAACCTTGGGGAATTCACAGAATTAGTAAAAATATTTGTATATACTCATAATATGTAAGGTTAAGTACATAACAGTCTTGAAGCCATCTTCTAACTTGTTATTACTTATATTGCAATATACCATTAAGGTTTAAAAGCAATCTAATGAAAGTATGGCAGTAATGATTTTCCTTCAGATATGAAAGTAACGAAGAAGAATGCTGGTCTGTGAATCTCAATTTGTTAAAAGTCGTGTTGTTTTGAATAAATTGCTTTCCATATCTTTGCTTTGCCGATTTAAAAAATTTCAAGAATATTTTACAATCACATAGAATTCATTACAAATTAGGAGAACTGAGAACGTGTTTTCTTCTGTCTGGATATATTTATTTATCATGTTTCAATGGATAAATCACTTTTTACCACTTGAAAGCATGTAGATAAATAAAATGATGATAATGAAAATAATTTATGTGTAAATAAACATTAATCTGGGTTCAGTGAATAACCTATTAAAACAGTGCTTTTTGGTCCTTTGTGTGTGTGTGTGTGCGCGCACGCGCGCATATGCTAATATGCTGGTGGGAGGGGGGCGCATGCAGTGGCAGGCATCTCTCTTGTCAGTGGTCAATGCAGTATTTTGCCAAAATTGGAACTCTGCGATATAATCTGTGACCACAATTCCTTTCACATTTTTGTTGGCACCATTTTGAATTTGGAGTTACTTAAAACTTGTAGTGAAGCATTTTTAATGTGTTTTGAGGTTGTCACAGCAGTGAATATTAAGGTTACAGTCTTCTGGGATATAAAACCTTGTAGTTTGATAGATACCACATTGTGAACGTACATGCCACATTGCACTTGACACATCCCAGAAGTCTGCACTGATAACTAGAATGAAATTGCCTTACTAAGCTGATCAGAAGGTGCTACTCTGTTTTCATATATCGTAGCCTTAGTCAGTCCAGCCCTTCACAGTGTATTTCCATAAGATACTGTCATGTGTTGAGTGACTTGACACAGGGTTTGGATTTACTGGACTCCCAAATTTGTCATGACTACAAGTAATTATAGCTGTTTCACAAATTCACACACTTTACAGCTCACTATATCACACAGCAAGTCTTCTGCAACTTTACTAGACGTTGCTACACAGCAGCTTCCAACAGTGGGGACTCCTTGCCTCCTGTGCCTTCCATCAGGGGTCAAATGTCTCACAACCACCTCAGGCTCAGAATGGGTGAAGACTGTCTGCAGGCTGTCCTGATATACCCTCTGCACGGACCCAACAGAGAACACCAACTCGAACAGCAACTCTGTTATTGTGTGTGTTTCTACTGCAGTGGGCACATGAGTTGGTTGCTGTGGAAATGCGTTTGCAGAGCAATTGCATAGTAGTGACTGTCTCTATGGCTCCACAAACCTGTCTTTGAGCAGACATGTTGCAATATTATCTTCCAACTTATAACTGAGTATCCCAAATACACTGATAACATGCATTCTACATGTCTTGCTAATTTAATCCTTGGAGTGTTCATTGTAACACTATTAGGACTTGAGTACAAATTTTGAAGCTCTTATCAAGGAATTTTCTGTCGTAAATCCAAATACTCTTTTTTCCCCCCCCCCTCAGATTTTGTTGTTCATGCCAGCACATATTTATAACATTAATTTATTTTTACAGTGTTGATATGTGTTTCATGCAAGTTTGGTTCTCTGCTCTGTGTTACAGAGGTTGGTTTTTAAATTGACTGAGCAGAATATGCAGCTGGTTGAGATTCTGAAACAGTATGAAGAGTCTCTCATTAAGAATCAAATTTTGCGTCTAGAGTTGGAGAATACAAGAGAACAAAGTATTAAGAAAGAAAATGAATCACGTCAGCTACGCCAGAAGTGCAGTGATGCCAAGGTATTACTCCATCTCCTTTGGCCTTCTGTTTTCTATATTAACTGATGTGCAGATGGTGAGAACCCTAATGGTTCCACTTGGCTTTTGCTGGCTGATCAACCATTTGTAGTGTTTGATACCATTCTCCTAAGTTTGCGCCATCCTTCTTGTTCATTTCAATTTTTATGTGGGTTGTCTAACAACCAAACCTCTCTGTGTAGCTCTTTCTTCCCAACAATTCTTTTACTGCCCAGTTCCAATGCACTTTCCATAAGTGTGACATCTTTCTTAACCTTCTGTTATCATCTTGATGTTGGTCTTCCTCTTGGGAGCGTTTTTCTTTTATTTTCATGTTCAAAACCTTCTTTGGGTTTCTCTTTTTGTTCATTCATGAAATGTGTCTGTGCTCTCCAGTTGTGTTGATTATTAATTCATCTTCCAGTGTAAGTTAGTAAATAAAGGTATCCCTGTAACAGACCGTGGAGGCCCATAGGGTTGTGAGATGTTCAGGTTCCCACATTTTCTAGACAATCAGCTCATAGATGGTGGCAAGGTTGTCAGTCCTACGCATCGGCCACCCTTTACCCCCAAGAATATTCCTGGTACTCATTTCTGTTGGAGGCTGAGTCGACCCCAGGGCCATAGTGCGCCTGGAAGGATTAAAATCAAATGACCTCATTGGGACTTGAACCCGCGACCTTCCGGCTTGTAGCATCATGCCTCAACCAACTACACTACTGTGTGCCCCCCATCTTCCAATGTATTCATCTTTAAATTTTCTACAGTCTTTTCTTGTTTTCTTTCCTTTCATTTCCCCTCCGTACTTCTTAGAAGTTCATCTCAGCTGTTCTGTTAAGCCTTCATCATGGTTTCACCAATGCCATGCCTTGTGACGGGTATTTAAATGCTTTATCTGCGATTTCATGTACACCATACATTCTACTACAAGCTTAATTTCTCTGTCATCTAATTGAGGAATGAAATGCTCTATTGAGATGGAAGTTTGTATCAAGCTATGATGAGGTAAACAGATTGTTTTTATGTCGATGACTTTGGTTCTCGTATAGCAGACAGCTAAGACTCTAATCTGAATGTCTGACATCACAGTCATCACATTCTTTTCTTCTGTATGTTCCTGTAGAGCCATTGATGACCTGCTGGTCCACCAGCTGTTATCAGTTGTCTTGATATTTCAGCCATCTGATATACCAATTTCTTCATCCTCTTCCATTTTTGAGAGTTCTTCCTCCCCATTCTCTGCTTCTTCCTTTGCCTTTCCCATTAGTGAGTTTTGGAAATAACATCCATCCATATTATGCTTCATTACCTTTCCACCTATCGCTGAGTTTACTCATCCTGTGTTACTGTACAGATTGTCTCTCTTACGGCTTCCTTCTAAATAATTCTTGAATTTTTTCTTTAACCTCTTTAACATCTGGTCATTTTTCCCATTGCTTTTTTCCCTCATAATTTTCCATATTTGCATATGTCTTGAAACTAGTTCAGCCAGGTTTTTCTTCTTTGCCAATTCTCTCATTCCACCTGGCCATTTCTTCATACCCTTTGCCTTTATGATGTTTACCCACATTCTTCGTCTCATACTGTTATTAGTGTATTTCTGAGCAGCTTCCATTCTACTTCCACTGACCCAATATAATTCTTTGGTACTTTTCCTTTTACATACTTTGGAATTTTTCTGTAATTTCCTTATTCTGGAATTTGAATGTCTGAAGGTTTGATGCTGCCTTAGCCACTAATTCAATTATTGGTATATTTTTAAAATCAACTTATGTGATACCTGTTGACACTGTCAAAGTAACACTCACTGCTCTGATATCTCTTGAAAACATTTCTGAATCTTGTGTTGTAATTATATAATCTATTATGCTCTTCACTTTTCCATCCCAGCTGTAGCTTATTGTTTTACGACTTAATTGCCTTTCAAACATCAGCTACCCACAACCCATCTAGTTGTTATACACATGTACAATTAAACCTCTTCATTCATTTCATTATTTCTGTTGTCCTGTTGCTTGATTTTGCGACATAACTGGAAAGCCAGAAATGCTTACTTAATGCAGTGTTGTCAACAAACAGCGCTGTACAGGATCTTACTGAGCAGTTCAGCTCACAGAACTGGAACTCCAGATGCCTGCCATTGTAATTACAAAGCTGCCTTTGTCATAGTTCTACGGTTGTACCTCTGAAACCTTTTTTTTTTTTTTAATTAACATCCCTTTCTCACTGTTGGGTGCGTTCAGATAAAAATTTCATGTATTTCTCAAGTCCTGGTGCTGTCAGGATCCCTTGCATCACAATCACTGTTATCAAACATCACACTGCAATAATTACTGCTCTCACTTTGTGTTTCCAGGGTTCTGGGTTTAAGTCTTGGCTCAGGAACTGTTTGAAGTGTTTTGTGATTTTTTTCCAAGTATCACAATGAACATTGCTTTGCCATTGCACACTGTAACCTACACAATTGACAAAGCATTGGTAAATAAATCAGGATAGACAATTTCTAATTATTGTATTGGAGTAAAATTACACTTAACAATTTGGCTGTCTGCACCATGTGTTTCATTCTTAAAATATGTCAACATTCTGATACGCAAGAAGATATGTGATTGCTTTGCAATATCCTTCATTGTGGTCTTGAGGAGAATGAAGCCACCTGTTAGGCATGATTTCTGTTGTAATATCTCTTACCATTCAACTAGGCCATGGTTCTAAATATAGAGGAGAAATTGCGTGAAACCAGAACTGAGGTAAAGAGGCTGTTTCAAGAAGCTAAAGCTACAACAGGGGGTGTTGGTCCTCTTGATGCAGCATTTGAGCAGTTCAGTAGAGTGTTCCATGTACTTGGTGATACTGAAGAAGAACTAGATAGAGAGATTCAAGACACCCAAGCTAAGGCTGACTGTCTTGGGGAAGCAGATGAAACAGTAAGTGAACATGTTATCCATTAAACACATGTAATGAAAGGTAGTTGGGGTTGTACTTTACTGTATTAACTTGGAAGGGGGGAGACATCTGGCCCCTTCCACCCCCAGCACTTGGATTATTGTTGGATCCCAATGTTACTGGATGTAATGAACAAGAAAAAAATATGTCGCAAACTTATTCAGAGTTTCTCTGAAATTCTGAAGTTTTCACTGTGACAAGTGACTAGCATTCCTTCAATTGAAAGCATGAAATAAATATGGTAAATGAAGACAGACACACAGAAAAAAAGAATAGCTTTAAACACACTCCAGGTAATGAAAACAAAATTGAATGGTCCATGAGGCAGGCATTCACTTCACCTCTTCTTGCCAAGCATGTTGACTCATGCACTAGAGTTCTGACTTGTATTTCAGAGGTTCCTTGTTTTAACACTGACTGCTGACTGAGGGTTTCATGGTTTTCTACACAAATTCTGCTTCTTTCAGCATCCTTTCTAATTATCCATTATCATTCAACATTATATAGTGTTAGTTACTGACATCAGTAAGTGAACTGCAAATGGATATAAACTACTGCCTTTTTTCCTTGTTTGTGTCCATGCATGTGTCAAGCTGTTGCATCATTTGTCGACTCAGGTCTCCAGTAGTCTCTTTAAAGCAGGTCAGATTTGTTTTCAGAATGTCCTGAAAGCTGAGTGGCTGTAGGCAGATACAGACTAGCAGTCCCTGCCGCCTTGTAAATCAGACAGTTCTTCTCTGTGGGCTTAATGTTAGAAATGGTGGTGATGTTGCCTGTTGTTTGGAAACCCAGTTTTTGACAAAGGATGCTGAAAATAGGGTGTATTTCTACAGCATTTGAAAATAGACATATCACTTGCTGCTTTGTTTCTCCTTGTATNTGTAGGAACACGAAGACACTTGCTGCAAGAAGCCATGGTGAAACTGAATGAATGTGAAATATTTTCTGACCTTTTCCTTCTCAGAGGGTTCTGACAGTAATATAGACCCCCACAAAGTTTACAAGGGTTCTTTACAAACATGCACAAAAACTATCATATATATGTCTTTGGTTGATGAGTGCCAAGAGAGCAAAGAAGGGAAGAGATTGTCAAAGCGTTAAAACACGCCAACGCCAGGGAACGGCTGGCATCGTCCGGGCGTTAAAACACGCCCGCGCCAGTCAAAGAGTTAAAAGTCCATAAAGTACTCAATAATAACAAAGCACAAAGCAATTTTTTTATAATTATACAGATCCCTCACACAGAGTTATGTCAGAATTGAGACCTGCTTGTTCAGCAGCATTTGTCATATTGTGAGGTGCGCCATGGATGGAAGTCGCAGTTGGTAGCAAATTATAAGTCTAACTGTTGATGGGAGACTTCTTCACAGGTTTAATGACTGAGATGGTCAGAAATTAAAAGAAAGATTTTGAGTTTCTCATAATGAAATCATACAGTGTGTTGTCTGTAGCCAAAGTGATATGTGGCATACTTACGTGGTGATTGACTGTGTTTATTAGTGTGGAGTTTTCTGCATTCTGTTCAGGTATCTTAATATGATGGCACTCATTTAGGATGGTGACACTTATCCTTTTAAACATGCAGTAAGTGCAATAAAAGCCTGGTCTGCTTTTGAGTAGATGGAATTTAATTTTATAATTCTATGTATCTGCACATCGTTTTGTCAGATTTTTTGCATTTAATAATCTGTGACAGTCAAAAAAAACGTTTTGAAGCCATAACTCAATAGTACATTCCACAATTTTTTACATGCTTCCCTATTTTAAAATTTATGGTGAATTTTAAGTTATAGAAATGCTGAAAAGTGTAGTAGATTATTTTTTTTTATTGCTAGAGGTCAACTTGTACAGCGAATGCCTTACCAAGGAAGCTCTGGATGGGCTCGGTGACTTCAAAGTAGGAGGGCAAATTATTCAAACTGTGAAATATGCAGATGACCTTGTGTTAATGGCTAAGGAAGAAACTGTGCTACAGGGCATGATTGATAGACTAATTGAAATTGGAAGGTGCTATGGCATGGAAATGAATGTGGAGAAA